CAGGGCTCTCTTGCCCGTAGCCCGATCCCGATCATCCGGCCCGCTGGGTGCGCTTCTTAGCTCCCCGGCCCTGGATGCGAGGCTACTGACTGCACTCCAAGTGCTCCAAGTTCTCGTGTGTGCCAAGGAGTTCCACCTCCTTTCTCCGCTCTGTAAAATCCCCCCCCTGGCCCCTGCCCCGTGGCGTGCTCGCTTGTGCCCCGCGCGTCGAATGTGCCACCTGCACCACCCCCGGAGTTCATTTTAATGACAATCTCTCTTATTGCGAGAGTAGTGTTCCATGTTTTACAAACAATCTCTCAACCCCATGATTTTACTCTATCCCAATAACTGGCGTTGTGCTTGAAGCCTGCGCCGCGGCCTTCCTCGAACGAGAAGCCTCCGATGTGGCACTCGCTGGGCGTGTATCCCGCCGCCTTCGCCTCGCTGCAGGAGTAGCCGGTGGTCTTCAGCCCGCTCACGAGCCCGCCAGCCTTAAGTTCCGCCGCCGAGAGGAGCTTCCGAATGTTGGTGCCCGTGAAGTTGCATTCGCCGCTGAAGCGAGCGCCACGCCAGCTGCTGCAGGCGAGCCCGGTGAGCCTCGCGTTGGAGAGGTCGACGCTCGTCAGCTGGGCTCCGTCGAACGTCGCGCCCTCGAGCACGCAGCCGCTCAGGTTGCATTTCAGCAGCACCATGTTCGAGAAGTCCTCGCCCGAAAAGTCGAGCCCCGCAAAGTTGGAGCAGCCCGCCTGGTGCCGGTCCAGAAAGTCGTGAGACGTCATCCCCTTGGCGCCGATGTAGCCCGCCATGCGCAGCTCCTCAAAGGCCCACCCCGCCGCCTTGGCCTCCTGCAGCGAGTATCCCACCGCCTTGGCCTCCACGCACGAGTAGCCGGCGGCGCGAGCGAGGCTGCTGCCGTGGCCCTTGCGCCGGAACTCGCCGAGCGCCTCAATCCTCGCCTCCATCTCGTCGCAAGTGGCCGGCCGCGAGCTGCCGCTGCCAGACAGCTTTGGCCGCCGCTCAAGCTCCGCGACGCGGGCCTGAAGCGTCGTCACCTGCGCCTGCAGCGCGCTGACGAGCCGGTTTGCAGCGTCGAGCTTTGCCACGTGCGCTTGCACCTCCGCCACCTGAGCACGCAGTGCCTGCCCGAGTTCTGTCGCGTCGCGGAGCTTTGCAGTCGTAGATTGCTCGAGGACGTCGATTCGTCCAACCACTCGGGTGGCCTCGGCGGCCGCACTCGCTTCCGCCCGTTGCACAGCCAAGCTCTGCTCCGCGAGCCGCTTCTCAACCTCGTCCACGCGAGCGGCCTTTTGGACCGTCAATATATAAGCTGTGCTCTGCCAGCTGGCGCTCGAGCTCGTCGGCGCGAGCGAGCGCGTGTCCGGCGAGTTGAACCGCTGACATGTTGTGTATGTGCCCCCCCGGGGGGCAGTGTGTTGAGCAGCGCCCACTCGTACACAGGTATGTTGGCACGTGGCACGTGGCCCCGCACGCTGCCTTTCGTAAAAAAATGAGTGTGCTGTCTCCAAGTGCTCCTATGAGTGTCCCTTGTCAGGAGCAGGAGAGCCCCACCTGTCCCCCTGATCGTCCTTCCAAAATCCTGCTCGTGCAGGTGGGGACCCTGTCCTCCTCCCCCATCCCTCGTCTGGGTTTGTCTGTTTTCTTTCTTTCTTTCTTTCTGAGTGTCCGCCTTGCGTTTGTTTCATAACATCGAAGGCTAGCTCAAAACAATGTTGCCCTAGGGGTCAGGGCTCTCTTGCCCGTAGCCCGATCCCGATCATCTGGCCCGCTGGGTGCGCTTCTTAGCTCCCCGGCCCTGG